GAGACATGCCAGGGCGACAAGGAGACCAGAGCGACAGAAGGCAAAGGGGCCTAGCAGTCTGGAGTTTCCAGTTCAAGCTCTGGTTCTGCAAATTACTCACCAGGTGACCTCGGCTAAGTACCTTCCTCCTAAGAGATCTTAAAACGAGCTGGTGTATTTTAAGGGTAAGAGTTGCTCTGCTCGATGTTTGAAGTTCAGGCACAACGTTTTTTGCGTCGAAACTATACGTTAACGGGTGTAGCACGCCTTTCCCTCGGTGAGATGGTGGAGAGCAGGAGGAGAGGCGCTGGGCTGCCCACATGGTAACACGCGCTCTTCCACTTAGCTGTTCTGTAACCTTGGGAATGCTAACTGCCTGTCCTGTGCTTGCTTCCTCACCAGTAACGCGAATGTTTACAGTACCTACGTCAACACTTATGTTGAGGATTAGATGAATTAACATCTGTAAGGCACATAAAAAAGTTCCCAACTCCAAAACAAACAGGCATCTTGTTTTCCTTAGCTTGGCAGCTCTCCTCCTGCCCAAGTGTGTAGTGGGCTTTGAGATTTTTCAAACACCTTGGCATCTCTAGGCCTTTTTCAATTTCTAAAGTTCTGCTTTCCACTCCCTACGGTAAATGATCAACTCTTTCCACCACCCCCTTTCTGTGTCCCTCCACCTCTTCCTTAATCCCCCAGGTACTCAGTTATTTGGCGAGGTGAAGTTCAGGAGACTCTAACAGGGGCAGTGTATTATGAGGCCACCATAGTCCTCAACCTCTGGGGATGGTACACACAAAAGGCTGGCTAATCTGAAAAACTGCTGTATTATACAGAGGTTAAAACCTCCTAGTTACAAGCCACACTTCCTGGGTGTGCACATGAGCTGTGCTACTTCCTAACTGTGTGACCTCTGCATGAGTTACTGAACTGCCTTGGCTACCTATTGTGAGAATTAAATCAGTTAATCCGCGTAAGGCACTAAAATTTGGCACACGCTAAGTGCTATCATTATTAATGCTATTACTATAATTTTTTTGTTCTAAGCGTGGAATCGCTTTTCCAACACACTTTTTCCAGGAAGCAATGGACAGCTAAGCCCCAGAACGGGTTGTGCCTGAAAGGCACACGCTTTCTGTGTGACTTCGGTCTGACTCTTCCCCATCTCTGTGCCTCAGGCAGCGCATCCTTAAAACCAGCTGACCTGACAAGGTGGTCCGTCTCCCGGGTTCCGGGAACTAAAATATCCTATGACCTCCAGCCATTTCTGTTCAGGTTCCCAGTAGCTTCCAGCTTTGGTCAAAGCTCAATGGCCTTTGAAAGTCTGCTTACTGTGTTTTCCATGGATATATTATTTTGGCATGTGGTTTAGTAAAAACGTGATAATGTTTCGGTTCGATTAGAGGCAACTTCCAATCTGTGTGTTGTTCCAGTTTTTTTTTTTTTAAGTCACTATTTACTTTAATTACCTGGTTTAAGGTTTGGGCAAGAAGAAGAGACTCACTCTCTCCTCCAAGTCAGAATCCAGGAGAAGTGAGTCTGTGCTCTAGTTCTGTCGCTAATTGTCGTTTTATCCAGGACAAGACACTGCCCTTCTCTAGGCTTCTATAAAGTAAAAGGGGACGAGGAGAGGGCGCCCAAAACCTAGGTGACTCTAAGGGCCCTTTTAATCATCTCGAAGAGCAGGAAAGCTGAGAACATTGCACGAAGACTGAGGAGAAGCTATCAGGATGTTCACCAGATAACTCAAACTTTATAGATCCGAAATCAAACTCTCGTTTCCTAACCACCGCCCTCCACCCCGCACCCCACATATTTGCTTTACCTACAAGCCTCATCGTTTCAGGAAATGGTGATCACGTTTTTCAACTTGCTCAGATCAGAAGTTTGACAATCAAGCACTGACTCCTTTTTCTCTCAATGAACATCTAATCTGTCAGTAAACGCTGTCAGAATCCACCTGCTTCATTCCCTCCGCCATCGCCACCCTGGTCTAGGCCACTGCCCCGTCAGCTGGATCGCTGCAGTACCCTTATCTCCCTGCTTCTCCTTGCTCCCACCGTCTCTTCTCCACACAGACAGTAAGTAAACAGACAAACGTATAAAATATCAACGAGCGGTACATGTTATGAAGAAGGACCCCGCTAAAACATAAATCGGATCGCGCTGCCCCTCTCCTCAAAACCTCCCCATGGCTCCCCACTGCAAGGTGAAAAATAAAGACTTGAGCAATCCTGGCCCTCGCTACCTACGACTCATCCTCCATCACAGGCCTTCCCAGCTGTCTTTCATCCATCACACCAAGTTTGCTCCCGCCTTGGGCCTTTGGTACTTCTGGTTCCTCTGTCTGGAATAGTCGAAGCCCAGATGTCCCTATGGCTCACTTCCTCCTTTCCTTCGGGTCTCTGCTCACGTATCACCTTCTCAGTGAGGCCTTCCTTCTCTGACCCGCATCTATGAAACGGCCCCTCCCACTATCAATCTGTAGCCCCCCACACCCTGTGCTAAGTTATTCTTCATGACACTTATCACCCTTTGATATACCTACATGTCTCCTCTCACTCAACTGTAAACCCCATGAAGGGAAGACTTTTTGTATGCCCTGTTCACTGCTGAGTCATCGGTGCCTAGGACAGAATTTGGCATGTAGTACATGCGCAGTAAGTATCTGTTACATAAGGAAGTATGGTCTGTGAAGTAGCATGGCAAGGTTACTGGTGCCCAGAACCACGCACAACCCAATCGGTCGGCGCGAGTGGATAAGAGACCCAGGTCAGCTTTAAGAGCTGTACCGGTTTCTATTATTGATACCAGTGCAGGTTTCTTTGCCTCCCTGAATCTCCTATTTTTTATTTATGAGGCGAGAGAGATATGTGATAAAAGAAAGAGGAACATCTGATTTAAGGAAGAAATAGTGGGGCTGAAATCCCAGCTCTGCCACTCTGAAGCTGTCCGACTTTAGACACGTGACCTGACTTCTCTGAACGTAACATTTACAATGGGAATAACAGTGTTATAATAGTATGAAGAATATTATAATTCCATGAGACCTGGCTACTTGTATAGGTAGAAATGAGGGTGAAATGTACTAACGGAATACGAAACTGCTCTGTAAACTGTAAAAACTACTGGAATCTGTCCAATATTACTCTTCCGTGCACCTCATTCAGAAAAGGTTACCAAGGGGTCAAACAATGTCAGTAAAAATGTTTTGTACTTTGGGAAATAACATCCCAGATAAAATACTAAGTACCATGGTAGCTTATTTATTATTGTCTGGTACTTGGTGGTTCTGGCTCAAGTTAGCCTGTGATGTGCTGAAACCACCAAAGACCAAACCACTCCCAGGGAGATCTTGCTGCAGGACACGTGCAGTCCCCCTAGTGGCCAGAGACTGCGAGGACAGTTTCATAAGCAAAGCACTTTTTTTAAATTAAAATTACTGGGGTGACAGTGATTAGTAAAATCAAATAAGTTTCGAGGGTACAATTGAACCCTAAGTCGTATATATATATTGCATCGTGTGTTTGCCACCCAAAGATTTCCTTCCGTCACCACATATTTGACCCCTTTTACCTCCACCTACCTCCCCCCTCCCCCCTTCCCTCTGGTCACCACTAAACTGTTGTCTCTGTCCACGAATCTCTCTTTGTTTGTCATGTTTGTTTGTTGCTTTCAGTTTTATATCCCAAATACGAGTGAAATCATATGGTTTTCGACTTTTTCTGTCTGGCTTATTTCGCATAAACAAAGAACTTAATTCAACCTGCACAAAACAGAGCCCATGCTGAACGGGTGAGCCATTTTAAAAAGCCACACCATCGAATTCAGCAAAACCATTATTTAAAAAAAAAAGTTTTCATGCGCCCCTTACTCTCGTAATTGATTTGTTCTTCGCGTTTCCCTCATTTAACCAACAGCCTGAAACCTCAAAGTAAGCCACCATATTCAAAGGAATCCTTGAGAGCAGAACAATAATTCTTGATCTGATCACCATACTGGGCACCTTCTTCGATGGCTCCCACGCCAAACTTAGAGCCATTAATCCCCTCAATTTTAATTAATTCCTCATATGTTGCATATTTTTATAGTCGAAGACGTCAAAACATGTTCCCGGCAAGGGCAATGACGTAGTCAAGGGAACTGAGGAAGAAACTAGTAACGGACTTGACTGAGTGGCACTGTTGAAAAAGCGGAAATAGATTTCAAGCCCTTACTCAAGTTCACCGTTCATTGTCTCTGCAGAGGTACCGCCACCCCTTGGAGTTCGAAATGCCCACCAAGGCCCATAACCTATTGCTTGGGTTTAATCACGTCCCTACTAAGGCATGAACGATAAGAGGCGGCCACAGGCGATATTGCTAACCACTTTGGCCTACACATCCACGCCATTTCTTTTTTGAAGGCATGCATTTAAAAAAAAAAAACCCTGCCATACAATCCAGCATCTCAGCATACTGCTGCCATCCTAGTTTTTTTCTTGATAGCTATAAGCTCGTTGAGGGTACAGACCCCAAGATCCTCCCTGATCTCCTCCCGGTGCACAGCTGGACATACGGCAGACGCTTAATGAAAAGTAGTTGACCGATGGATACTGTTAAAAAATCAGTTCATTAGGGTCATCTCTAAAGACAGCTAAGTCACAATTGGACCTTTAGCGCCTTCTGTTCAACCGCCTGCAGTTCACTTACCATTCTCGGGAACAACAGCTGTAGCTGATTAGACCCGCCCTTCACCTGGAGTAGTCTTGCGGTCAGTGTTCAGGTCCTTCACAGGTGAATTTTATCTTTGCTTTGTGGTTATGGAGTGCACCCCCCACCCCAGAGAAGCTCAAATTATATGAGAGTAAATAAACCATTTCCTCATCTACAAAGACACACCAGGAGGGGTAGCATTTACTTTACTCAAAGGACAACATATAAAAACAACATTATGACTCCAGTTGTTGACACAAACCTAAACATAAGCCAAATGCAGCTAGCGATTTCTTTGGCCTAGTTGGCATTTCTTATCTCTTTATGTCAGTTTTCTATGTGGAAATGATTACTCTTCACCCCCTTGCTAATAGTTCCCAAATCCAAATACTGAGGGAAAAAAAAAAAAAAAAAGGACTGGTAACCGCTTAAACCTTATTAGGTTCCTCTGAAGACCTAAAAATTTTAGAGGCACTCTTCTATTCATCCAGGAGAGGTGAATTACCAAACCCAGCTCACAGCTCTGAGCACAGCAGCGAAAACCTTCTGCCTCTTAAGTCCCTGAGGTGTTCAAAACTCTGGCTTTCCACAAGGTTGCAGGATACAAAGTAGATACACAAAAATCAATTCTGTTTCTATACTCCGGCAATGAACACTTTTGAAAGGATATTAAGAAAACAATTCCATTCACAATAGCATCGAAAAGTTAAAATAAGCAGAAATTAATTTAACAAAAGAAATGTAAAAGTTATAGTCTTACAACTACAAAATACTATTGAAAAAAAGTGAAGAAGACCTAAATAAGGGGAAAGGCATCACACAGTCACAGAGCGGGAGACTTTACGTTGTGAAGATGACAACACTCCCCAAACTGATCTGCATATTCAACTCGATCTCTATCAGATTCACAACTGGCTTCCCTGGAGAAAGTTACAAGCAGATCCTAAAATTCATACGGAAATAAGAGAAAAAAACAAAAAACAACAAAAAAAACCAAAAAACAAAAAACAAAAAAAAAAACCTTGGGGAAAAGAAAGGAACATAATCGGAGGACTCGAACTTGCTCGTTTCAAAACACTCAAAAGTTACAATAATTAGGACAGCATGTATCGGTATAAGATTTATGGAATATAATTTAGAGTCCAGAATAACGCTCACATTTACAGTCAACGGATCCTACCCAAAGGGTGCCAAGACAGTTAAATGGGGCACGAGTGAACAAATGGTGTTGTGATGTCTGGATGTCTCCACGCAAAAGAAGTCGGACCCCTACTCACATTTAATGAGTTATGTAAAAATTAACTCAAAGTTGATCAAAAAACTACATTTTAACAGCTGAAACTATAAAACTCTTACAATAAAACCTAAGTGTAAATCTTCTTACCCTGGATTAGGCACGGCCTTCTGAGATGTGACACCAAAATCGCAAGCCACATAAGCAAAAAATAGATTGGACTTCAAAATGAAAACGTTTGGGCTTCGATGGCTACCATCAAGAAAGTGATAAGACAACTCAGAAAATGTGATAAAATATTCACGAGTCATAATTTGTTACAGTTCTTGTACCCAGAATATAATTACAAACACTTACCATTCGATAATAAAAAGGCAAATAAACCTATTAAAAACGAACAAAGGATGTGAAAAGACATTTCTCCAAAGAAAATACACAAACTTCCAGTAAGCACATGAAAAGATGTTGAACATTATAGTGATTAGAGAAATGCAAATCAAAACCACTTCGAGATACCACTTCACACCCACTACGGTAGCTATAATTAAAAAGGCAGACAACAGCAAGTACTGGCAGGATGCGAGGATTTTGGAACCCTCATATATTGCTGGTGGGATCCTAAAACGGTGCAGCCACTTTTGGAAATAGTTTGGGAGTTCTTCAAAAGATTGAACAGAGTTATCACAAACGCCATTCCTAGGTATATACCCAAAAGAATTAAAGACGTATGTTCAGAAAAAATGCCCGCATATGCGTGCTCATAGCAGTATGTTTCATAATGGCCAAAAGGTGGAAAAAATCCAAATGTCTATCAATCGTGGTACATCAGATGTGGTACATCCATATAATGGAACGTTATTTGGTTATAAAAAAAAAAGAACAAAGTACCGATATGTGCTTCAACATGGATGAATACTGAAATTATTATTCCGCAAGAAGCTAGTCACAAAAGACCGCATGTTGCATGATTCCATTCGTATGAGATGGTAGGATAAGCAAATCTATAGAGGCCAAAAGTAGGTGGGTGGTTGATAATTGCTCCAGGTTGTTGGCGTTGGGGGGTGGGGCAGGTAAGTGATTAAAATGTTCTAGAATTCACTGCGCTGATGGTCACCCAACTCTGAATATACTAAAAGTCATTAACTGTTCAGTTCAAATGGCTGAATTATATATATCGGGAATTATGTCTCAATCAAGCCATTATTAAAAAAATAAAACTCAGGTACTGCATGATTGAAATTGGCAGCATTCTCAAGTAAGTAGCACTTTAGAGCTATAAGCTTCTGGAGATGAGCCACTGTCAGCCCCGCTGTGGCCTAAGTTGGCAG